AAAGAAAGAAAGAAAGAAAGAAAGAAAGAAAGAAAGAAAGAAAGAAAAAAGAAAAAGAAAAAAAAATAAAAGAAAAGGAACGTATAAGGAAGAACTACTGAGTCAAATCCTGTCTGGACCTCAAAGTCCCTCTTTAAGTGGGACACTGTGCCCAGGTGGCTCAATATCCAATTAGTTTGGGAGTCACCTGATTGGGTCATTAGTTCTGTGACCTGACTCAGCTACTCCGTTTCTTAAGCGGCCATCATCTTCCAAGTATAGCAACCCCGAGGGACAGGTGGGATCTATTATGATCTCCACTGCACGTTTGGAGAAGCAGATGCAAAGGGCTTTCATAGTTCACCTACAGTTACTCAGCAAAGAAGAATTGAATGTAGTGTGCACTGAAGTAAGTCTGTGTGTGAGTGTGCTTGTGTGTGTGCACACATGAGTGCATGCGTGTGTGCATATGTACATGTGCTGTAGACTTTTCCTCATCTTCCCAGGAATAGTGACAGTCCTTAAGGACTGTTAGACCCTGAAGCTGGAACTAGACCACTTCTAATAGACGAAAGAAAAAAAGAATAGACCCCCTCTAGTAATTACCTAAGCCAGTTCTTCCTTTAGGAGGGGGTAAACTGAGGCTCAGAGAGGGAGTGTGGAATATTCCTTTACACTGTGTCGCTGTGATTGGTTTAATAAAGAAACTGACTGGCCAATAGCTGAACAGGATAAATTTAGGCCAAACTGAGAATTTCAGGTGGGAGAAGGGTGGAGTCTGGGAAAATTGCCAGCAGACTGAGAGAGAAACAAGATGGGCATGCCGTACTAAGAAAAGGTATCAAGACACGTGACAGAGCATAGATAAGAAATATGGGTTAATTTAAATGTAAGAGTTAGCTAGTGATAAGCCTGAGCTATTGGCTGAATATTTGTAATTAAAACAAGCCTCAGTGTGTTTATTTGGGGGCTGCTGGTGGGACAGAAACTTGCACCAATAAGGGAGTAACTTGTCTTAGGGCGTGTCAACAGACAACTGGCTCCACATAGGACCAGAGTTCCCACATATGAGAGGCCTCATGTATGGCCAAGATCCTGGCCAGGGAATCAACAGCTTCCTCCCTTCCTTCTCTCCACCTAGGCTGTTTGGTGACTTGTTTTTGATCCAGAGTCTGATGTATCCCATGATAGTCTTGACCATGCTTTGTGGCTGAGGATGAGCCTCCTGCCTCCACCTCCCCAGCTCTGGGATTATAGGTGCTTACCATGCATAGTTTTACGTGGTACTGGGGATTGAACCCAGGGCCTTCTGCATGGGAGGCAAGCACTGTACCAACTGAGCCACATCCCCAGGCCTAGTAGCTCTTTTATTTTTTTTTTAATGAAGTGTTGAAAGGACCCAAGATCTCCCCTGGCCATTTCACCCCTATTCCCAGCTTCTATAATCTACTACTCACAGGGTTCCACTTAATCTTGCCTCCTTTGAGATTCCCTCTTCAACTCTCTGCTCTCCCCCAGCCAACTCAAAACATTGGCTGCTTCTACCCGCTAGTAGATCATCATACCCTTTCCCAGAAGCCTGTTAGGCTTGCTGAAGATGCCCCGAATCCAAGCGACGGGGATTGATGGTCTAGAAACTGAAGAATGAAATGGTCCCCAAGCCCCTATACAAGCGTCATCTTTACATTTAGAATCTAGGGACTGATTATGGGGCTCCCTATAATTTGCCTGATTTGTTGGGGAATAATTTTACACTGGTACTTAACAACAGGCTGAACAGGTTCCCTTAGAACTGAGATTGAAGCCCCTTGCTGTGATTTAGATTTTGCATGTGCCCTCACAGGTCCATGCGTTGAAGGCTTGGTGCCCAGGAGGGTACTATTAGAGGTGAGGCCTTGCAAGAGGACCTGAGGCTGCCTCTCTTTGCTTCTAGGTTCCTGGAATGAGTGCCCTGCTCTGCTCTGCATTCTTGCGATGACCTCTGTCTTCATGAGGTCGAAAGCAACTTGATCTAGACTAGAACCTCCAGAACTATGAACCAAGATTAATGTTCCCCCCCCCCTTTTTTTGAGACAGGGTTTCTCTGTGTAATAGCCTTAGCTGTCCTGAAACTGGTTCTTGTAGACCAGGCTGAACTCGAACTCACAGAGATCCACCTGCCTCTGCCTCCCGAGTGCTGGGATTAAAGGTGTGCACCACCACCAACCAGCTAATGTTCCCTTTTAAATTTAATTACCTCTGGCATTTTGTGATAGCCACAGGAAGCAAATGCAATCCCTACCATCTAGTACCTCAGAGTGGGACTGAATTGAGATTAAATGGGGAGGAGGGACTAGGGAAATGGCTCAGTCAATAAGAGTTCTTGCTCTTCAAGCCTGAGGATCCCCAGGACTCTTGTAAAAAGTTAGACATGACTGGGTGTGTCTGTAGCCCCAGCATTGTGAGGCAGAGACAAACTGAACCTGAGGTGGCCAGCCAGGCTAGCCTAAACAGAGAGCTTCTGGTTTAGTGAGAGACCCTGTCTCAGGGCTGTAAGGTGCAGGCTAGCCCAAACAGGAAGCTTCTGGTTTAGTGAGAGACCCTGTCTCAAGGCTGTAAGGTGCAGGCTAGCCCAAACAAGAAGCTTCTGGTTTAGTGAGAGACCCTGTCTCAAGACTGTAAGGTGCAGGCTAGCCCAAACAGGGAGCTTCTGGTTTAGTGAGAGACCCTGTCTCAAGGCTGTAAGGTGCAGGCTAGCCCAAACAGGGAGCTTCTGATTTAGTGAGAGACACTGTCCCAAGGCTGTAAGGTGCAGGCTAGCCCAAACAGGGAGCTTCTGATTTAGTGAGAGACACTGTCCCAAGGCTGTAAGGAGACAGTAACAGTAACAGTAACAGTAGAGTAACAGTAGGAGAAGACAACCTTGGTCCTTGCTCTGGCCTCCTCGTGTGGAGTGTGTGCACAACTACACATTCACATTCATACAACACACACACACACACACACACAAACACACACAGAGAGAGAGAGAGAGAGAGAGAGAGAGAGAGAGAGAGAGAGAGGCACATGCATGACTGGTATCCCTGTAAGAGATTATAACACAAATAAAAGGAGGAGGATAATACCTGGAGGCTAAGGGAGGCCCCAGACACAGCCAAGCCTGCCTACACTTTGGTCTTGGGTTTTCAGCCTCTAGAACTGACATTAAGTCTCTGTCCTTCGAGACACCCAGTTGGTGTCTTTTGTCATGGAAGTCCACACAACTAAAACTGGGCCTAGCCAGAAGGGGTCACTCAAAATCATTTGAAATACAACAACAACAACAAAAAAGTTTTTTGAGACACCTGGGTCTTTCTATATAGTCCTAGCTCCCTAGGAACTCACTCTGTAGACCAGGCTGGCCTTGAACTCACAGAGAACCACCTGCCTCTGTTTCTGGAGTGCTGGGATTAAAGGCGTGCGCCGCCACACCTGGCACCACATTTCTTTCATTTCTTTCTTTTTTCTTTAAGTTTGTTTTTTTTTTTTTTTTTTTTTTTTTTTTTTTGAGACAGGGCTTCTCTGTATAGCCATGGCTGTCCTAGAACTCACTTTGTAGACCAGGCTGGTTTTGAACTCAGAGATCCGCCTGCCTCTGCCTCCCAAGTGCTGGGATTAAAGGCGTGAGCCACCATCACCCGGCCATCACATTTCTTATAACTTTGAAAGAGCCCTACCTCACAGTATCTGGGCCCCTCGTATCCCCATTCAGCCCTGTTTATCCAGGACTGCACACACACATCCTGAAGTCATCTATCGCTGTAGGTCAGGAGCTCCTGGCCCCTGTACCCAGGCACCGCAAACACTGTCAAACTGACAAGCTCATGCCAATCTTGGCAGGCCTGGATTGCAGAAGCGGAGGAGTGGCAGGCTCGTCCCCCTCAACAGAAATACTTCCTTTCGAAAGCAAGTAAAATGTAAGCTGATAAAAGAAAATCAGAAGCAAACAAATTTTTGTTGGTTTACTTTTTAATTACAAAACAATTATAAAACAAGCATATAAGATTCTGGCCAGCTGTCACCAGCAAGCAGGGCATGGTCATGTTCTATCGTCCAGACCTAGGACACCCCATTCTCAGAGCTGCTTAGACTCCACAGAGCTCTGAGCCATTAGAACAGCAGTTCTCAACCTGGCGCGGGGGTGGGGGGGAGCGGTCACATGACCCTTTCACAGGGATCGCCTAAGACCATCAGAAAACATGGGTATTCACATTATGATCATAACAGTAGCAAAAGTACAGTTACGAAGTAGCAAAGAAAACAATTTTACGGTTGGGGTCAGCACGGCATGAGGAACTGTGTTAAAGGGCTGCAGCATTAGGAAGGTTGAGAACCACTGGTCTAGGACACCTAGGAGTGGAGGGCACTGTCACAACCCCCTCCAGTCAGGGAAGGTACCTACTATCTCTCTGTCCCAGACAGGTTCCATGAAAGGCGACACCTGGGGAAAGAGATTTGTGGCTATGGAAAGCTCAGCATGTCACAGAAGACGCAGATGAAGGCCCTTCCAACCAGCCCCGCCTCCACACCGACAGGGAGCAGGCATGGCCATTAGTAGAAGATATTCAGTGGAGGCCCCTCCAGGTCTTCCTGCCACAGTTCAGGACAGCTACTGAGCTGCAGGCCTGAGCCCGGGGTGGGGCTGGTCACAGGCAGCCGGCAGGCCGGACTGGAACCTTGGTCCTCGGAGCTGGAGAGCGACTCTGCATGGTGGCCCCAGCAGCCCCACTGAGGTTGAGGCTGTAGTCTCTGGCACGAAGAGCGGGGAAGGAGGGGTGGGCTTCCCAGGGACAGGCAGGGTTCTGGAGACACGGAAAGACTCTGCAAGAGAGACGAGAAGGGCTTATTCCCTGGCCACTGTTTGGAGATTCCAAACCTGGCTGTTTCCCCCCAGGAGTGCGGCTGGTGGTGTCTGGATGCCCCAACAGTGCAGTGGGGTGCAGAGGTCAGGAACACTGATTCTGGAGACACACTGCCAACCTTCAAATCCTAGCTCTGCTACTCACTAGCTATAAGAAGTCTCTTCATCTCAGTTTTCCCACCTGTAAAATGGGGATGCTAATGTTTCACAGGGCTGTATTAGCAGGGATGAATAATCAGACATAGGTGTAAGCAAATATTGAGCACTCAGTAAAACTCAGTCATTAATAGAATCTTTTATGGACCACAAGGCATTCACAAATGAATAGACCTCAAAGAAAACACAAAGGTCCCCAACGCCAGAAGAATCTATTCAGGAAGTGCTGCCCGTACCCCCGGGGCTCAATCCTGCCCTGAACTTAGAATTTCTTGGCATTGCAACCCCTCATCTTCCACCCTGGCCTCTGTGTAAATCCAAGAGCCATCCTCTCTTCCCCAGGCTGTGGAGACTGTTGTATAGCAGTGATGGCCACTGTGGAGGTGGCTTTAACGTACCAGGGACTTGTCTTCTCCCCATAGCTGTCAATAAGGCTCCTTCCATCCTCCCCTTCACTAGAGAACCTGGGACCTGAAAAGTTGGAGACCCTGTATAGGCTAGAGACCATCCATCTACTCTATTTCCAACCGGAGCCTGGGGACCTACCTGGAGAAAGCGGCAGGAGCCCTGGGACCTACCTGGTACACTTCAGTCAGCTCTGCGGAAGCAGTGGATGGTGACCAGAGTCCAGTCTTGTTGCTAGGCTCTGGGGATGTCTGCACACCAGAATAGACTTGGGGTGATGTCCAGTGAGAGGTGTCAGGGGCTCTTCCTAGGGACTGGTTCAAGGGTGACTGTATTTGAGGACAATAAGGAGGTGTCACCCAGGGATCCACGTTCGAGATCCTGCTCCCAAGGTTTTCAGGTGAGACTCGGGGTCCGGGACAAGCGGGAGGGGACACCCAGGACACCCCACTACTAATGGTTGATCCCAGGCCAGGGCCAAGCAACTGAGCCTGCGACGGGCCGCCGTCGGGGCACAGAGGGCATCGGTGAGAGGACGCGGTGTCTGCGCTCCGTCGGCGCCTGCTCTGCAGACTGTCCTCGCTGAGGCCCAGCACGGCCGACAGGTGGCCGATGTAGCGGATGGCCAGTCGCAGCGTCTCGATCTTGGTCAGGCTCTGGCCAGCAGGCGCCACAGACGGCGGCAGGAAGCGGCGCAGTTCATGCAGCGCGCGGGCGAGCGTGCGCATGCGCAGCTTCTCCCGCTCGCTGGCGCTCTGCCGCTGTCCTCCTGCCGGCGCTGGGCGCGCACGTCGGGGCGCCGGCGCGGTGGCTTGAGCTTTGCTCGAGCTACGGACCAGACTCGCGGACTGCGAGGGCCGGCGGGTGATGTAGCAGGGACACGATCCGGATGAATCCGAGGATGAGGCTGGGGACGTGGAATCTGAGTGCTGGGTCCAGCCCCAGCTCTGGGAGAAGACCCAGTGGTCGAGGCCCTGGAGGCTCCGAGGAGGGGGTGACTGGGCCATGGCTGGTGTGACTCTGGGAAGCTGGACCGGTCACCTCCAGGTCCTAACTTTTATCTGGACCAAAGGTGTGAGGTGGCCCCCTGCCAGGTTGCAGAGAGGTGTCAAAACCCACAGAGCCCAGGGAAGGTCTGGGCAGGGGGGGGCCTGGGAAAGCGGGCCCATTTGCGAAGGTGTGGATTCTGACCCCTCGAAGGCTCTAATTGAGGCCCCTGCTGCCGGGAAGTGTGGGAGGGACAATTCGCATCTGGATGGAGTTGCTAAGCTTCTCACTGAGCCCCCACCCGCACTCCGCCCAGCTACTGCAGCCCGAGTGCCCAGGAACCCACCGCCACTATGGAGACCGGTCCACGGACTGCAGGGTATCTGGCTGTCCCTCTTGCACCTCCTTGGCCCACTTGAGGAGCGGCCGCCCTTTATCATTAGCCTGTGATGAGCTATTCCTAGTAACGTTTACCCAATGCTCTCAGGTGCGCTGCATGGGACTGGACCAGTGACAGGCCCAGTGGCAGACAGGACATGTTAGGGGTTTCCTCAGGCCCCACATTAGCTAATTTGCTGAATGACACTAAAAAAGTCATCTCGTTGACCTCAGCTCTCTCTACCCCCTAAAAATGGAACCCCGCAACCCCCGGCGGGGGGGAGAATAGGAAGTGGGTACCCAAAGCCAACTATGCCTTGTGTCACCTCAATGTCATCTAATTCCTCCTCATCTCAGCAGTGATTGCTGCAGGGAGGCTTCTGGCCCTCGCAGGAATGGTCCTGAAAGCCTTACATTGGGTCTTCATTGCACCTGCCACTTATAAAGAAGGGACTGACAGTCAGGTGTGGCGGCAAACACTAGTAATTTAGCACTGGGGAGACTGAGGCAGGAGGATGGGGGAACAGTGTGTGAGGTCAGCCTGCACAACTCATTAAGACCTGGTCCTGGAGCTTTTCTCTCCTGCAGATACTGTTACTGGGGAGGGGGCTCTAATCCAAGCACTTGGGAGGCAAAGGCAAGAGGATCAGGAGTTCACGTCCATCCCTAGTAACGTAGAAAGTTCGAGGCCAGCCTGGGCTACAGAAACGCCTGTCTCTAAAAACAAAAACAAATAAAACCCATGTGCGAGCATATCAAAGCATTTATGGGCGCTCCTTTGCTTTTAGGCAGGGCCCTCAACCTGCCTGAGCTCGTCCTTCTGGTGGGTGAAACAGGAATGAGTAGGGCGTCTGCTCCCAGGACGGCTGTGGGAAATAACTGAGTTAACACAATGTACGACGCACAGGCTCCCTCAGCGACAATTACAGTTTAAACAAGGTGCCCGTGTCCTGCATGACCTCTGGGAAGGGGCTAAATGAGAGCACCCGGGACGGTTGGGCCTTGGCCACGGAGGCTGAGTGGTTGTCGCTGGGCCTTGAACCAAGAGTATTGTTTGATGAGGGAGGGGGACGGGGAGAGCATGCCAGAAGGGTAAGGCCTGGTGGTGGGATAAGAGGGTGCTGCTAGAGCAGGGGTGTGAGGGCCAGGCACACCTGGAATATAATTATATATATATCATATAATTATATATGTATATATATATATACATGTATACACATACGTACATACATATATATCAGTGATCAGTAAGTCAAGGTTAGTGTGACCTGAATGCTTAAGAGGGCTGGAGACATGGCTCCGTGGTTGAGAGCACTTGTTCTTACAAAGGACCTGGGTTCGATTCCCAGCACCCACATAATGGCCCCCAAATCCAGAGGATCCAGCAGGCACACGTGGTGTACATACATGCACGTGGACAAAATAGTCATGCAAACAAAGTAAATAAATAAAAAAGCTTTAGTTCAAATAAATGTTAAAAGTTTCCAAGAACTGATTTAGCTGGCACAGCCTGGAGTCATTAATGGCCATGTAAAGGTTCCTCATTTCGCAAGTTAATCTTTTTATTACACATATTACATAGCCAAATATTTCATGGCGAGAGTTGGAACCCTGATAGATTAAGCCACCCCTCCCCAAGGCCCTGTGACTCTCCAAACTGACAGCTCTAGGCGGTCATCCATGGTCTAGCGCAATCACGGCATCTCTGTGAACTCAGGTCTCCTTAGGGAGTACACAGTACTGACTAGGTGTTGGGTCAGTCCCCTGGAACTCCTGCGCTGAAAATACTCCCCCCTCAACGGTGTGGAGGGTGGGGCCTTTGGGAGGTGACAGGGGCCGTAAGGCCTCTGCTCTCCTGACTGAATTTGACTTTGCCGAAAAGGCTAGCTCTCTGCCGTGCTCACTCTGTTTTGACTTGGGATGGCTTCTGCCATAGGATGCGGCCCTTGTGGCATGTTGGCGCTGTGCTCTGGAATGTCACAGCCTCCAGAACAGAGAGACACGAGTCTCTTTTCTTTTTTTGAGACAGAGTCTATGATGCAGCTCCAGCCGTCCTGGAGCTCATTGTGTAGACCAGGCTGGGCACAAATTTGCACCTGCTTGCGACGGGACAAAAGGCATATATTACCATATACAGCCTTTTTGGGTTTTTTAAATTTGAGACAGGGTCTCACTATGTAGTTCCGTCGAACCTCCTGGATTCAAGTTCTGTTTTTTATTTCCATCTCTTTTGTTTGTTTGTTTGCTTGTTTCGAGACAGGGTTTCTCTGTGTTGCTTTGGAGCCTGTCCTGGAACTAGCTCTTGTAGACTAGGCTGGCCTCGAACTCATGGAAATCTGCCTGCCTCTACCTTCCAAGTTCTGGGATTAAAGGCATTGCCACCACCACCCAGCTTTATTTCCATCTCTTGATTTATCTCGTTGCTTCATTTAGTGGGAGATTCCCTGCATTTTAATCTCCATCTTTTGGGTCTGAGGATGAACTCAGTGGTTGACCTTTCACCTGGATGTTCTAGAACCTGGGTTTTATCCCCAGTACTGCAAACAGAACAACAAAACCGACTCTTCCTTTCTCTGTCATGTTTTGAATTTTCTAAAAGCTAATTTTTAAAAAAAAATAAAAAATTTAAATGTTCTTCCCACCTCCCCCAGGTCTCACTGTGTAGATCAGACTGGTCTTGGACAGAGAGATCTGTTTGTCTCTGCCTCTGCCTTCCAAGTGCTGAGATTAGAGGTTTGTGTTACCGCACGTTTTTGCCCTTTTTATAATACTTGTTGGGGCTGGAGAGATGGCTCAGCGGTTAAGAGCGCTGGTTGCTCTTCCAGAAGTCCTGAGTTCAATTCCCAGCAAATCACCTATGGCTCACAACCATCTGTGATGCGATCTAGTGCCCTCTTCTGGCATGCGGGCATACATGGAGGCAGAATGTTATATACATAACAAATCTAAAAAAAAAAAAAAAATTAAAAAATTGTCTCTGGCAGGAACTGACTGGGGCCCTGTGAGAACACACTGATCCTTCTAAGGGCAACCCGTCCGCCTCCTGTGGGATACCACATCTTAAAAGTCCCCTCCATCCTCATGCATAGACCCCAGGTTGGACTTAGCCTTGGGGCTGATTCTCCTGCCAACAGATCAGTTTCTGTACCACCTCTTATCGTTGCCACACTGAGAATCAAAATTCTAACTTAGGGACCTGCGGGGATATACTCAAACCACATCCAATAGACCACAGCAGCCCAGAAAGTCTTCGTGACTGACTGTACCCTTCTCAGTTTAAAACACCCTGATACGGTTTTGGGGAGGCAGGTTCTCAAGTCCATCTGGCTGTCCTTGAATTCGATGATCAACTCTCCTATATTCACCTCCCAAGTACTGGGATTACAAACACATGAAACCATGCCCAGCTCTTTTTTTTTTGGTGGGGGGGAGGCAACATCTTTTAGATCAAGCTGGCTACAAACTCATGGAAATGCTCCTGCCTCAGCTTTCCGAGTGCTCGGATCACAAGTGTTAGCCGTCACTCTTTTTCCCTTAGCTATTTGAAAATATACAATTAGCAACAATTACCTGCCATGAGATAGAGCATTCGATGTTAATTCTACCCACCCCGCTGTGGCTGTCTCCATGGATATCTTCATCTGCATTTGCATCTGGAATTAGACTGTGGGACTGGGATGTAGCTCAGTAAAGCACTGGCCAAGGCCCTAAGTCAGGTCCCAGAACCGCAAAAGTGGTCACTTGAAATTTCAGATAAACATTTCTCACGGTGTTTCTAATGCATGCCTCTCAAAACAAAAATTCCACTGTTTATTATTTATTTACTCGGGAGTGTTCTGCCTAGCCAGCTAGACATGCAGCTGTGGAATGCAGTGTGTACACTGGTCTTATAATCTCCAGGAAGTTCCGAGTTTCCGAAGTTACTCTACCCCTCCTCCGACCTGGACAGCCAGCCTAAGGGATTTCCTGTGAAGGGATTTGGTGAACCCCAAGAGTCTACTGGCAGCACAGAGCCCCGAACATAATACATAATACTTTCTCTTCTCTGGGCTAATTTGGCCCACTTCTATGGTGTGGGCTAGCTGCAGAGCCCAGACCTTAGGACTTCAGAGTATATTTCTAGAAGACGTAAAGCACCCCAACCAGACTCTTGAATCATAGGGCACACTCTATGCCGGCCTTATTTGTGCAGAGGAAGACGAATGTCAATCCTTCACCAGCCTCTATTTGGTACAAAAAGACCGTGTGGGTCAGTGGTTACTGCTTTGGGCTATAGCATGGGGCCTGGCTTAGGGCCCCAGTTACACCCCTTTCGAACTGGTAGGATTTGGATACTTTATTCAACTTTAGGGTTTTTTTGTTTGTCTGTTTGCTTGCTTGTTTCTTTGAGACAGGATTTTTCTGACTCCCAAGTGTGGGATTAAAGGCTTTTCACTACCATGCCTGGCTCTACTTCTGTTTTTTTCCTTCTGTGTCTCTGGTCTCAAGATAACCGTTGGGGGAAAATAACATGACATGGAACTCATAGCTGATGTACCACTTACCGTAAGTTCAGGGGCAGCAAATGAGTCAAGGAGTAGACTGGATCACGAGGACTCTGGTCTCCTCTGTGTCAGCCCTGGCAGAGGAAAAGGCTCTGGTC